CCCCCCCCACCCCTCTCCCCTTGCATGTCATAGGACTCTCCTCTTCTGGGGGTGTCTAATTACTGTTCGTGCTGGCCCAGCTCCTCCACCTCTCACTATATAACATTTATGGGAAAGAGCAAAGGGGAATACTATAGAGCATGGGTGGCCAAACATCGGCCCTTCAGCTAAAATGAAATTACATTACATATTTTATCATGATAAGATATGTAATTTCATCATAGCTGAAGGGCCGAGGTTTGGCCGCCCATGTTCTATAGCAGTGGTTCTCAACCTGTGTAACCTCAGGACACACATTTGTCCTTGGTAATTAATCATGACCAAAGGCGCACTGCAATAGAACGCATGGCATTGTGGTACTGCAAGCTCCCTCACAGTCATACTCCCAGCCCAGCCCACCTCAAGCTGCTTGCTCGGCGCGAGAACGGACAGTGCTGCGCTAGGGGAAGGCTGAGGAGCCTCTCACCTAGCGCAGTGGACGGCACTCCGCGACCCACTGAACACAAGGTCTCGACCCACCAGTTGAGAACAAAGGCTCTATAGTATTGCCCTTTGCTCCTTCATGCATCTGGCTCTGGAAGTCATGCTTGTGGCTGTCAGGGTCTTGTAATGCCTTTTGGGACTTTATAGTTCCACAACAGCTTGAGGGCTGAAGTTTGGATACCCCGTGCTATAGAGTGTCCCTTGAGCTTGAGTTTACTGGCATCACTTCCAAGATGTTGGTGCCCATCAGCAGTGTGGAAGAAGTTGGGTCTCATAATAATAATGATGCAAATAATGTTTATTGCCATGCTTGCTGAAAAGAGACAGTTAACATACCTGAGAACGGCACATCCCTCAGCACTGTGGGGCCCCATCCTTTCCAGAGGGACAGCCAGCCACCCTGAGATACAGCAGATCGCAGACAGGCTCCTAGCTCTATGTAGGACAGCTGACGGGACTGCAGTTTAGTGCGGATCAGCTCCAGAGGACTGATGACTGTCACTGCACCCACTAAAAGGGAAGAATCAGAGATATTAGAACCTGTGATCAAGTTGACACAAATTACATGGACATTTGTGTACAAAACACTTACATCGAGAGAGAGCTCCAGCGATGAGAGGGATGTGACTGCCGCTGTACCCCAGGCTGTAATACAGAAAGTCCCGCAGCTGATCGTAGCAAGTGAAATAGATAATGGTTGCAGGCACAGCCATCACCCTGTAGGGGGAGACAGAGAGATAATCAACATGATGGGGATCGCAGCAAACAATTCCTAAACACCCTTCACCAGTTGTGTCCGCAGAAAAAATAAAATAACTAGAAAGCATAACAATTTATAAAAAGCAAGCAGGTCAACTGCCCACACTGCCCTCTCTAAACAAATTGAAGAGAGATGCTGATTGGTTGCCATGGACAACTGCTCCAGATTCTGCAGTAGCTCATGTCTCCGCATCCTCACGAGGCCATAACAATGCCATCAACTCTGTTATAGGGAATCCATCAGGAGAACAAGGCACCTTTATTTTACTTTGCATGTATACAGTGTATGTTTACTCAGTTCTGTTAAAGGACAACTATGAGGTGAGTGATTTACACTCATCCTCCTAGTTAGAGCTGACGTGCAACAATGAAACTGTCACACGTCAGCTCCAAAGATTTGGAAGTGAGCGAGCACATACAGTCGCTTGCTCACTTCCCGATCATCTCCCTGCAGAGAGCGGTGACTCTAAGTCATCACTCCCCACAGGGATTCCCCTCCTCCCCTCTCTGATACTCCAGGGCTGGCTGGAGGAACGGACAGGGGAGGGGGCGGGCACAGCTGGCTCTGCCTCTAGATTGGCAGAGCCCGCTGTCAATCAGCCAGCTGGGTGGATCTCAACAGTATTGTTGGGATCTGTCCCGGCTGCGGCGCTCATTTTATAGCGGGCAATTGCATATACTAATGTCCTATACTGAGCATATACTAATGTCCTCCCGTGACCCTAAAGAGAACTATGGGATAAAATGGTTACCCCCATAGTTCTCTTTTAAGTTATTATAATAATAATTTAAAAAAAAAAAATAGTTAAACTGTACTAACCTGCTTAAGAAAAACCATGCTAAAGTAACTGATTACGCACTAGAAAAATTAAATTCAGGTTCACTGTGGATAAGAGATAGACAGCCAGCTTATCGGTACTAACTCGTATCTCCTTAAAAAGGAGAACCTAAGATTTTGTTTGTACCGTGCAACAAGTACTTCAACAGACCCATTTGATAAAAATCTGGCGACCAACTCCCCGCCAACCCTATTTCTTTTCCCCCCTGTAAAAAACACACACAGATACTACAGATGAGCATGTGACATATTCCCCCAGTCCCATGAAATAGCTTGGTTCCTATGAGTGATGAGCCTGGGCTTATTGTGAACCCAGTTCCCCCGAGTTTGTGCAAGCCTGCTCAAACCTGTGTCTGCCACCCCCTCCTCCCGGTCCAATCAGTTGCCGAGTGGTGCATTCCCTACCCTCCAGTTACAAGCGTGCTTGGGCAAACTGGGCTCCCAGGCTCATCAATAGTGCCTAGTAATTAGCCCAGCACTGTCACATGGGGGCAGGGAAGGAGTCTTGTGTAAGCTCTGACGCGTTGGTTTGGAGCTTACAAAGGGCTTTCCCTCGTTCTGGTGGAGGAGCCCTGAAATATGAGGAGGGGAGTTAAGTGACCCTTTTATTTTGACCTTCATAGCCAAAGAAAGGGGTCACTTTAAGGGCTTCAAGAAGCCAATTTAGACCTTAAAATATAAATGCTATATGTTAGGTTCTATATACTGTACCTGTAGTTACAAGCATATATTAACATAAATGCCTGTGTGTACTAAAAGTTACACCATTTATTTAATTTGTGTTTTCCGTCAACACTGGATAAAATATTTAACCCCCCGTCATGAAGCCGAATACTCACAGTGTAGGGGGAAGGCCACTCCAAAGTGATCTCAGCCCCTCATGGCGTGAGATCTTCACAAAAGCATCCTGCATTGAAAAATACCATTGAAAAAAAGAAAACATTAAAAACAGACCTGAGGATGCAATACAAAAAACACTAATTATACTGATCTCCAGACAAGCAGATAAATACACAGCTGAAATACATATATGAGAACTGGTCAACCAGTCTTGTCACTCAGCTCCCCCCCATCTTCCCTGCCAAACAGCACAACCAGAATCTCAACCGCCACTGAAGAGCACATCACCAGCCTGCTGACTACATAATGAAAGAGCAGCACAATGCTGATGAGGTCACCAGTCTGCTCACTGCACTCTCCTCAGTCAGCACATGGCCAGCTACTAGGGAAGGTCCTTACTTTTCCAGTTGTGCTGTGGTGCAGTGGATTACAGATGGGCAATAGCAATGCAAATTCAATTACTTAAGTTGCATTATATAAAAGTACAACTTCACTCCTATTTAGGTCCCATTGGCCTCTCTCAGTGTAAACAACATGGGAAATATTTGCTCTACCTTCAGCACCATTCTAACAAGCCTTTCCTTATAAATAGCCAGGTTGTGCTCTGCACCCCACCGTACTGTGGACCTTGTCCATTCCTTTGGCTGGATCCTTACTAATGGAGTGCATAGCCATCCATAGGAGCATGGACCAAACCAAGCGATTGATCAAGGGCTGCAGAAGGCATATCTGGTAGGCAAATACTCAGACAAAAATATATTTGCATTCCATATTCTTCATATCCTAACCTACAGTTAATTAAAGTAGGGCTGTGGAAATTAAAAATTAATTTCTCGATTAATCGTTAAACTTTTTGATCGATTAAAATAATTTTGATCGCTAATGAAAAAACACTCACCTCTCCGTTGGCTTCCGGGAGTCCCGTTGGCGATCCGGTGACGTCACGGACATCAACGTCACCGGACTCCTCCCCCCTTCTCCAAGTGGCTCCGTCGGCTAACGAAGGGAAGGGGGGAGGAGTCCGGTGACGTCGATGTCTGTGACGGCTAACAAAGGGAAGGGGGAGGAGTCCGGTGACGTCGATGTCACCGGACTCCTCCCCCCTTTGTTAGACGACGGAGCCACTTGGGCAGGTGAGTTTGCATGAGCGCCAGCCAAGGCATTAGCCTATACACATGCTATTGTTATTAATCTCACGTGCCCCACTCAAGCGGCGGCCATATTGAGTGGGGCACATGAGATTAATAACGTGCTGGATTAGTGTGATCCTAGTTCATTTTATTACTTCATTGCTGTGCTGTATAGGCCAAAGTAGTTGGATCTGTATGTGCGTTTATAATTAATCGAAATTAATCGATTAAAAAAAATTTTGATTAATGGAACACGAAAATTGTAATCATTACCAGCCCTAAATTAAAGGGAATCTATCACAAGGCAAAATACATGTTTAAGAAACTTCTGATGGCTGCTTTAAAGAAGACCTCCAGAAAAATATTAACCCTTACAGCGGGACTACCCCCCACACTGCAAAGGTTAGGTGCTCGAAAAAAAAAAGTTATAACCACCAGACCTTCCGAGCCAGCTTGTACTCTCTCCCTCTCTGCTGCAGCGGTCTAAGGATCCTGGTGTCATCACACTCTATACACTGTGTATAGACGCGAGGATGCCGAGGAGCAGTCCATCTGTGCATTGGAGGAGACATGCTTCCGTTAGAACAGAAGCAGGGAGCCAACTCGGATGGTCTGGTGAGTAGAACCTTTTTTTTTAGCACCTAGACAAACATGAGCATTTAACCCTTGCAGTGCGGGGTCAGGTCACTGCAAGGCTTAATATCATTTTAAACTGGAGTTCTTCTTCTTTAAGGCACATAGTGACTACAATCACAAACTGAATGTGTGCAGAATTTCTATCTCAGAGTCCCTTCCTTGTAACTCATGCGAGTCCATAAACGGCAGCTTCCATCAGAGGCTTTGTGCTAGATGCTCTTTAATGGATACCCTGTACAACATATGTTTATTTCTTGTTTTTACAGATTTACATGCTTCACTGCTGAAGCCTCTACTCTCACTTCCTTCCAAAGTCGCATGGCATATACACAAGGGGTTTAATTTCCTCTCAAGCCAATTAACAATCCAGCAGACTGCACCCTGTTAGGGAAAACATACAAACTCTCAGCACCAGAAATGCTACCTAATGTGCCAGCCTGCAGTGCAACTTCTGCTCTGCATATACGAGGGGAGGCCAATAAGTTCCTACCCTCACCATGATCTAGATGCGCTAGGGATCGGAAATGTTGCAGGTTTATAGGTGGATATCTTAGTAATATGCATGCCAGTTTTTGTAAGCCATGGTAACTTATAGTTAGAGCCAAGAGAAATGGAGTAGGTGTCATGCCGGACAAAGTTGAATACCGAGTAAAATTAAGTAAAGCTGCAGTCTGGGAAAATAACATTCGAGGACGAGCGACCTTTAAATTGCTTCATCCAAGCAGTGTAGAATGCAACAAGACACAGAACTTGTGTGGGCAAGCCATTACTCCTCATCTAAACATTCCTGACCAGGTCTGCGTCCACAAGCCTCCCCTGTGACCCCTTTGCACTTACCAAAGTTCCATTAAAGTACGTGGGTGCGCGGTACCAAGTGCTGCAAGCTGTGGCATGCTGGCACACAAACAGATGATCCATGAGTCCATTACAGTACAGGAAACAGCGCCCTGTGCGGGTTATAAGAGAGAGAGGTCAGAGGATGAAATCTACAAAGGCAGCTACTGAGACTAGAAAAGCCAGGAGTGAGCAGGAAAATGGGCACAGTGTTAGAGAAATCATAAGGTTAGTGTACAAACGGCCATTTTAAGCAGTTTTAGTGTGAAGGGAGGGTGAGAGAGGGGCGCAGTGTCAAGCAGGCTGGTGGGCACAGCAACACACACTCATAGGAAATAAAAGGAAATAGAGGTATCGCCCTTAGCAGCCAGACTTCAATTGTAATTAATCAAATGAAAGCCAGGAAATCAAAAGGAAGATTCTAACTGGCTTCTATGGGCAACTCCGACACATTCCTTTCCCTCCAGGGTTTTATATAACAGGCCCATTCTGTAGGGACAATACAAACAGTGAGTGCACATAACTACAGAGTGTGCGTCTGGGGGATTAATTATTAACTGGAGGAAGCCAACTAGAAAACTAATTGGACTATGGGATAAAGCAGGGCATAGACTACTGGTGTATAGTATCCACAGCAACTAGATTTAAAGCTTAAAAGGAGAACTATGAGGTGAACATCATTCAGTCTCATAGTTCTAGCCGACCTGTGACAATGAATGTCAGACGTCAGCTCAATAGATCGGGAAGTGAGCGAACACATACCATCGCTCGCTCACTTCTCGATCCTGTCCCTGCAGAGAGCCGTGACTGTCACTAGGCAGAGCCAGCTGTCACTCACGCAGCTGGGTGGATCCAGACAGTAATGTCGGGATCCGTCCCGGCTGCGGCGTCTCAGCATACCGTGAGCTACAGCTCGCGGTATACTGAGCTTTGGGTGACGGGAGGACGCTAGTTTGTGTCCTCCCGTTTCCCTTAGGAGAACTATGGGGAAAAGCCCTGACCCCATAGTTCTCCTTTAACTCCAGCCGCATATAAAAGAAACCAAATAATGTAGATCAGTATATATTAAAACATCAATGACTAGTTCCCTACTATGCTAGACACGGGTGTGCTGTGTGCCAGAACTAGGGGAGCCACAAGACCTGTAAGGTTCCCTACTATGCTACACAGGGCTGTGCTGTGTGCCAGAACTAGGGGAGCCACAAGACCTGTAAGGTTCCCTACTATGCTAGACAGGACTGTGCTGTGTGCCAGAACTAGGGGAGCGACAAGACCTGTAAGGATCCCTACTATGCTAGACAGGACTTTGCTGTGTGCCAGAGCTGTATAAATCTCAGGACTGCTTAAACATACATGCAAATCCTCTTGGCAGGCTAAACAGCCCTAATATATACTTCCTCTGTATATTTAGATGCTTGTCTTGAGTTCAGCCTTAAAGCCGAACTCCAGGATAAGCAAAAATTATCTCAATACAAGAGGCATGTGTATTCTTGCATGCATCTTGGTGTGTTTGTGTATTTCTTCCATATCTGTGCAGTGATCCAGTGTGATACCTTGCCTCTGTATCTAGACCAGTCACTGCTGCTCTCTCTCCTTGTTCAGGGTGACTGGACATATATCCGCCCCCTCCTGTAGTGGGTGGAGCCTTCTGGGTCCAGCCCACAGCTCTGCTCAATGCACAGGCTATGTACAGCACAGTGGATTTATACCTTTGTGGCTACTGAGGAACATATTTCATGAAAGTTTTTGTGCTCGGAGTTCAGCTTTAACCTTTCATCACACAGAGCAGAAAGGGCTCTGAAAGATTATTGCTGATAGATAGCTATGGATGTCTATATAGCACACTGATCGATGTAAATTGATCTAAAAGGTATGTCAGGAATAAATTACACATGTTCATGGGAGACAATCAGACCTCAGGATGTTCTGATGATGCAATCACATATGAAACAGGTCAGTGACAACGCTTATACATTGAAAGCCACAGACCTATGTCTCTATGTACGCTGCAGATGTAAAAATGCAGTTGGGTAAAGAGGACAACATTGGGACACACTGGAACATTTATATACAGTTTAGCATAAGTTCAGCCCTCTTTCCACTGCAACCAATCAGAAACCTTATTCCATTTTTCCAGAACCTTAGAATGAAAGCTGAAACCTGATTGGTTGCTGTGGGGAACAGCTACTCAGCTCCATGACAAATTTAGCATCCCTTGAAGCAAAGGGGCATCATACATCAACACCTCAATGCCCAAGTTTGCACAGCAAACTTTCTTTCTTATGCTAGGAAAAGTGAGCGGGCCAACCTGTACTCACATTTAGGGTGGCGCAAGGGGGGTGCCCAGGGAAGAGACTTTACAGACATTACTGCAACACAAGAGGGAAAAAATGGGAAGAAAAACAAAAATATGATAGCAATCTATGCAATATATGTATAACAACATACAAATACATATATATAGTCATTAATGTTGGAAGCCATGATGTTAAAGCTGAAGGTGTAGGTGCTTTTTATGAAAATGTAGCGGCTAAAGGGTGGTTATCCAATATGGAAGCGCAAGCAGTGTAAATGACATAGCGACCAGATTCCTGAAGTCAGGTCGGCTACCTGTGACTTTGGATTACTTGTCACAGTTAACCACACATAGTGAACTTGTCACATGGCCCACCAGATAGTCCACCCTGTCCATTGTAGACACTTATCCACCCCGATGCCCCATTCCCAAGCCAAAGCCTGGTGAAATTTCCGGCCCTTCCAGGTACGGCGGGCACATATGACCCTCTCCTCTTCTTACCATGATCCAGTGTTCAGTCTGAGCATGGCATGTCCTCTGGGCATGGCATGGGTAAAAAGCTTTTTGTAGCTATGTGTAAGCTCCGATGATGAGCTCACACAGGGCTTTCTACTCCGGTCGGTGAACAGGAATGTGGAGAAGGAAGGTAAGTATCCATAGCTGAAGAGGTCGGCCATCAGGAGAACCTGTTACTTAGCCCTAATTAGGTAAAGTGACAGGCTCACTTGAACAGAACACTCTGTTAACCACTTGAAGCCCGGGGTGTTAAAGGAGAACTATGAGGCGAGTGAAAATCACTCATCCTCATAGTTCGAGCCAACCTGTGAAAATGAAACTGTCACACGTCGGCGCAATAGATCAGGAAGTGAGCGAACACATACCGTCGCAGAGAGCCGTGACAGGGGAGGGACTGGATTCCCTCTCTGATCTTCCAGCGCTGACTGGAGGAACGGACGGGGGAGGGGCGGGCAGAGCTGGCTCTGCCTCTAGATAGGCAGAGCTAGCTGTCACTCACGCAGCTGGGTGGATCTCGACAGTAATGTCGGGATCCGTCCCGCCTGCGACGGTCTCAGTATACCGCAAGCTGTAGCTCAATATACTGAGCTTTGGGTCACGGGAGGACGCTAGTATATATTCTCCCGTGACACTTAAGAGAACTATGGGGAAAAACACTTACCCCATAGTTCTCTTTTAAGCCCCCTTCCTGGCCAGGCCAGTGTGAAGGTAGCCCTACTGCAAGGGTAAGTTTTTTTTAAATTCCTGGAGTTCTTCTTTAAACCAATATTTGATTATAGATATAGCGTATGATTGCACATGTGTAATTCTATACAACCAAATCACTCTGAATACAGTTATCAAATTAGTAATAATGTATGGAGCTGTAACTGCTGAGTTCTCCTCCTGAAAATGCTAGCTGACTGGCTGTCAAGCAACTTAATACATTCTCAGTCTCCGACCCAGATTCAGTATGCATATCCGGAGTTTAGACCTCGATTTTACTGCTTGCTCTAAGTGAAGCCAAAGACAGCCAGCCAAACAGGCGCCAATTTCAGAATGAGCTCCACCTCCATGACTCTCTTAGTACAGGTTTCCAGAAAAATCTAAAACGACTTGCTGACTATTTTATAAGGCAAAGCAATTGTAATATATAAACTGCAGTTACTCATAGCAACTAGATTTGAGCTTAAGCTGGCCGTACCATTCTGGAGATTTGAGCAGCGTGTGGCCCTCCCGGAACCCTTCCATTCATGAAGGAGCTGGGCCGAAAATTGACGGCTGAACAGTGCTGCAGTCACTGTTCAGATATTCTGACAGCGGTGGGTGCAATGGCCAGCAGGGGAGACTTTCCCATCTACCCTAATAGTGCATGGCCAGCTTTATTGTAGGCAACTGGTTGCTAAAAGTTGCTGCACTTCATGCATTATAAATCTTCCAGCTGTGGAAGGTTTTCAGGATCCAAATACAAATTTCTAGACAATGAGTCTTTCTATGACTGCACCATCAAGAGATGCAGGCTACTATCCAAGCACTCCTGGCTGTGGTTGTCTTCCTCAAAAACACCAGGTTACCTTTGAAAAGCCTAACTTGCAGCACTCAATCTCTGAATGCTACAGACGGACAGGCAACGCACAGGAAGGTAAGCGGAGGAGACTCTGCAAGCACTATGTTACCTTTGGAGAATGGCTTCTTCTGTGACTGCAGCCTGATCTTCACAACGTCCAAGGGGGTCACTGGGGACGAACAGGGTGACAGAAGAAGTGAGACACAGCTATCTACATGGTAGGCCCACATAGCTATCCCGCATTATCATTGCCACATCTCATACCGAATAGAGAGGTGAGGAGAGCTCCGGTCCCTGAGGCGATAATTTGCTGCAGTGGCGTGATGCCACACCGCAAGGTGCCACTTTCCTCCATCGCCATCCCTGCCATGATGAGTGAAAGCTCTGGGGGAGAGGAATCTGGGGGGATGCTGAGGAGAAGGGGGACATTGGTAATAAATAAAAAAAGGGAACGGATGGAAGTTAAGATGTGCGAAATAGAGAAGCAAAAGAAAGAGTAAGACACATTAGACACTTGAGCTACCAAAGACTTCTACCACCACCACCACCTCCTCCCATCCTTATCTATCCCCACCCTGAGCCAGGCGTGACCGCTATTACAGGGTGCTGATAAAGCAGCTGAACTGCCAATCTACAGGATAAGCACCAGAGCAATGCTGCACCGACATGACAACTCACTTCTTACCTGGGGCCTGATGGGAGGCTCACAGTCTCCCCCTGCTGGATGATAAATGACAGTATGCTTCATTCCAGGAGTGACTGCACAGAGAAAAAACAAGAACAATGCATGTTAATGGTTATGTAAAAGCAAAAGCAGGTGTTCTGCAAACTGATCACCTGTGCCGACATGCCGCTGTCACAGTGTACTAAATACGCATCACTGAACACATTATATACAGCCAAATACCTTACAATCAATGTGCCCAAAACATTTAGGAGGTGTCTAGCAACAGAACTGCAGTCAGCATAAAAAAAAATCACTAGCAATCATGCCTACAGGGGAACTATAAAGTCTTTTTTATATGTCACAGATCTAGCTCTTGTACAAAAATATCCCTTCCGAGAACATGTCATATAAAACCCAGATACAGAAATACCCCACTGTGACCTGCCGGCAGGTCTGGACTAGAGAAGCGGACCCAGTGTGCAAACATAGAGGTGGCGGCATGGCAATCTAAGCCAGGGCTGGACACATCCCAGGAGCTAGGTCGCCAATGCTACAGCTGGCGCCTAACTTTTTAGTTACTGTGAGGCCGCTGAGGGACATGCCACAGCCGGAGCTGGGGGTCAGAGAGGTGAACAGTCACCACCACAGGACTGAGGATCAGCTGAGTGTATCTTCTTTATTCTGTCCGCTAGAGAAAAAATGGGCTATCCCTGCACTGCAAGGGTTAACTTTTTGTATACCCGGAGTTCATTTTTAAGCTGGATATACACCAGTAGAATTCATTTAAAAAAAAAGTTTTGGAACGTTCAATTGACTTATTAATGGCGTCAAACCGACCATCGTTTTCAACCGCAGTGGTGTAAAAAAAAAAAATTAAAGGAGCCGGATGAAAAGTTTTCTCAAGTGAACAGAACTCTAAGGGGGTTATTCATTAAGCCGAACATTCGGCCAATCCTTTGGCTGGCTTAGGCAGCAGTAACAGCACCCTCCCAATGTCAAGGGCATGTGGTAGGGTATGGTGCAGGGGGGGCTCTCGCTTGTCCCCTCCCCCTTCCTGTCCTGCCATGCCAAGTTCAGTGCTTGGATTAAGGGTCTGGTTGGGAATTTTAGAAGGGAACCTACATTGTTTTGTTTTTTGGGGGTTGGGGTCCCCCTCAAAATCCCTATCAGACCTAGAGGGTCTGGCTTGAATTTGCAGGGGAACCCCATGTATTTTTTCTTTTTACATCGGGGGTCCCCCCTAACAGACCTCATTTTTTTTCTTTTTACACTGACATTATTATTCGGATTGCTGCCTCTGAAGCAGCGAACAGAATGGCCGAGCCGAATGTTGAGCCGAGCATTCGGATATTCACTCTCTGCTGTTCGGCCCCTTGGAGGATAGAGGTGAAGAGCGGAGAAGGAACTGCCGAACGTTCACCTCAGCCGATCAGCTGAGGAAAAACGCGTTCTTTCTTTTGGTTTGGTCGAACGTGCTGAGGCTGTTTGGCTGAACCGAAGTGAAGGGAGCTGAAGCTAGCCGATGTTTGGCTAAAAATAGCCGTAACCGGTTCGGTTATTCATTCAGCTGCCTTCAGCAGCTTAGTGAACAACCCCCTGATAGTGAATGTGGTTTTCATTGAAGAAGCTCCATTCATTCCAAAATCAAAATGTTAAAATCAAATAAAACTTGGAATGACATTCGTCAGATTTCTGATGATATTATCGAATGTTCTGATTTTTACTACGAACGGCCGTACCGAAATCTAGCAGTGTATGGCCGGCCTTACATATAGAGTTGTCAGCATGTGTAAGCAAAAGGTGTCACACAATGCTTTACCAAAAGATGTCACCAGCACTCCAAAAGTAGATTCAATATATTTTAATGACAACGGTCATTCAAAGTCACAAGTACTTTTCGGGGCCACGTTGGGTCCCCGTCATCAGGCTCAGAATCTCGGAAGGAATCTTCTGAGCCTGATGACGGGGACCCAACGTGGCCCCGAAAAGTACTTGTGATTTTGAATGACCGTTGTCATTAAAATATATTGAATCTACTTTTGGAGTGCTGGTGACATCTTTTGGAATTACTACTTGACTACACGGTGCCTCCGTGGTCGCTACAAGCACCCTATTACAGACATCATCTCCTAGGAGATCCGGTAAGGAGTGCAGGAAGATACACACAATTTTACACAATGCTTTACAACACATTACATAAAAGACCAACTCAGGTGAATACAGATAATAAAACACAGATAAAACGGCTTTGTACTACAGACACAACAACACTAGACGTTAAAAAAAAGAAGTTCAAGAACATTGTGTACCGGATATTAAAACCACCAAAGTACAAACGTCACCAGTATAAACATCGATCAAACCTGGCACAGCAGTACAGCATATGAAGAGCACCGCACGGCTACACGCAGGAAGTCAGCCAGACACATGCCCTCCCCAAAAAAGAAACAACCTTGTAACATGTGCTGACATTCCTACATCATTCTCAACTTTTCTCACACCATCTGCAGACCACAACGTTTTTTTTTATCTGGTCCAAAAATGCATCCCCATTCATTCATTCCTAGGGTAACAAGTGAGGCCGGTTCACACCACTGCGTTCAGTTCCAGATTGTTTCAAAAAAAGTACTGCGTACGCCATTTTTTCTGGTGTGGAACGCACCAAAAACACATACAAATGCACCAAAACAAAATACAATTGAAACTATATAAAAAACGCACCAGAACACATCAATAATGCAAAAAAACGCACATAGACGCATTTTCTGAAACGCAAGCCCATAAAAGAGTAATTCCACTATTCCAGGTGAATTTGGGGCAATAGAATTGCCCCCTCCAATCTGGCCCCCTCTCCCCGGCGCTATACTTACCTTTTGGTGAACGCTCCTTCCCCTCCGCTGGGACAGGTGTACTCTCCGTACCCCGTACTGTCGTGTAGTGCTCTGGAGTTGAATTTCACTCGCAAATGGTGAGCACTCATTGATGAGCGCGGTCACCTGACCGATGAGAAGCACTTTTGACCACACTGACCAATGAGAAGCACTTCTCATTGGTCAGCACGGACAGGTGATTGCACTGACCAATGAGTGCTTGTCATGTGCGAGCGAAATTCAAAACCCAGAGTGCTACAGAGAGTACACCCGTACCCGTGGAGGGGAAGGAGCGTTTGCTGGAAGGTAAGCATAAAGGGGAGGGGCGATTCCATTTTCCCAAATTCACCTGGAAAGGTGGAATTACCCTTTAAGGGCGTGACAGAAACACTGCACAATGCGAAATGCACTTGCGTTGCCAATAAAGGAGAACTATGGGGTCAGGGCTTTTCCCCATAGTTCTCCTTAGGGTAACGGGAGGACACAAACTAGCGTCCTCCGGTCACCCTAAGCTCAGAGCTGTAGCTCGCGGTATACTGAGATGCCGCCGCTGAAACGGATCCCGACAATTATGTCTGGATCCGCCCAGCTGCGTGAGTGACAGCTGGGCTCTGCCTATCTAGAGGCAGAGCCAGCTGTACCCGCCCCCTCCCCCGTCCGTTCCGCCAGTCAGCGCTGGCAGATCGGAGCGGGGAGGGGGGAATCCAGTCCCTCCCCTGTCACGGCTCTCTGCCGTGACAGGATCGAGAAGTGACCGAGCGCCGGTATGTGTTCGCTCACCTCCCGATCTACTGAGCCGACCTGTGACAGTCTCATTGTCACAGGTCGGCTAGAACTATGAGGTGAGTGAAAAGCACTCACCTCATAGTTCTCCTTTACTTTCTAATGGCACCCCAAACGGCCAGGAAGATGCGCATTTTTCTTCTGCATTTCCATGCATAAAAGCACGGAATGCGTGTGGCAAAATTTGCAATATAAGGTTTCTGCGGCATTTGTCGTCTGTTCAGCATCCCACTCAATTCAATGGGGATGCGAGGCAAACAGCACATGAAGCCACACAAGCACGCATGAACGTGACGCGTGTTCCTGAAACGCCATGTGTGAATATGGGCTCAAATCCAGAGCTGAGCGGGTACCCTGAGGATCTGGACATCTTATCTATAGTACATCTTGACCTGACTCATGTCCAGTCACTACAAGTATCCCTTATCTGTGTGCAATGTTTTCCAAACAAACCCTCCGCTTATCATCCACCGGAAAATATTTGTAAGATCTGTTTTGCTTTTCAATGATTATTTGTCAAAACGCTAAACCGGGCTGATGGATTTATTTAAAAAACAACATTCAAGTCCCCCCTGGAACCCCTTGTAATAGATCAGAACCCGTGAATGTACACAAATGATACACACAATACACAGCACAAATCAAAAAACATTATACATGGGGGT